AAGTTTAGCAAGTATCTGACTGTTTTTGGGATAGGAATTGGAATAGGAGGGATTTGAATGTGGATATGGAGGGGGAATGCCGAATTTTGATAGGTAGAGAATTCCAGAAATTGACAGCGCGAGCTTAAAGAAATTCTGAAATGAGGCAGATCTGTGCGAAGGGATGTAGAGGTCAGAAGGTCGAGATCTTGTTGAAAGGGAATGGACTGAGGACTTGAATCGGAGAAGGTTGTAGGCGTAAGAAGGACGATGGTTGTTGATGATTTGATAGAGGAACATACCTAGGAAATATTGTCTTCTAAAGGAGGGGAAGAGCCACCCTAACTCAGTGTAGTGGTGAGAGACATGGGAGTACCTCGGGGCACCGATAACAAATCTTACGCAGCTATTCATTAATCTTTTCAGTCTATCACGGAGCTCAACCGAGAGGCCATCATACACCACACAGCAGTAGTCAAAGTGGGGGAAGATGAGGGAGGAAATTAGGAGTCTACGGGTATGTTGAGGTAGGAAATGGCGGAAGCGATGAAATAGTTTAAGGATAGAAATTGTCCTACGGGAAATGTGAGAAATATGGTAGTTCCAGGAGAGGGTTTGATCTATGAATAATCCTAAACTTTTAACAGAGGAGTAGAAGGAAATTATCTGGTCATTAAAGTGTAATATGGGAAAGTCAGTATGGGATCTAATAAGGGGCTTGGAACCAATGACAATGGCCTGAGTTTTGGTAGCATTTAACTTTAATCCATTTACATTTGCCCAGGCACTGATTCGATCAAGGTCTTCTTGAATCTTGGCAAACGCTACCAGTAACTCAGAGGGAGAAAAGGATAGGTAGATCTGGGAATCATCTGCATAAAGGTGTTGGGAACAATAGAGAATTGAATTATGAAGGTCGTTAATGTAGGAGCTGAAAAGGAGAGGAGATATGCTTGAACCCTGGGCAACTCCGGAGGATAAAGGAAGGTAGGCAGATAGTGGTTGATTGGGTATGGAGACTGCTTGGGTGCGTTGTTAGAGGAAAGATTGGAACCAAGAAATGGAACTATTGGAGAAAGATAATGATTTTAGCTTGTTGAAGAGGATGGAATGATTGATGGAATCGAAGGCTTTGGAGAAATCGAGGACTATAAGGACAGTTAATTTTCTATCATCTATTGCAGATTGAATGTCGTTGGTAATTTTAATTAAGGCAGATTGTGTGGAATAGCCGGGACGGAAACCAGATTGGAGAGGATCAAATTGGTTGGCTTTTCGAGGAACTTGGAGACTTGGGATTGCACTAGTCTTTCAAGAGGCTTTGAGAGGTTAGAAAGAATTGAAATTGGACGGAAATCTTCGGGTGAGGATGGATTAGGCTTTTTATTTAAAGGAAGAACAATGGCTTTTTTCCAAGAGGTAGGGAATACTGAATTCTGAAGGGAGAAATTGGTGTGGCCCTATGGAATTGGTGTGGGATTTCATTACCGCGGTTAACAGATCTGTGGGAGAAATGTCGGAAAAATAAAAGTTATTGTCGTTAAAGGATATTTCTGAAGAAAAGCCGGAAGAGGGAGGTAGAGAAGAGGTATTAGCGATAGATATAAAATAAGAGTTTAAATCATCGGAGGATACAGAAAAGGCTGCGGTAGGGGATCTGGAAGGATTACCAATGGAAAGTTTACGAAGCAGTAGCCATTTCGATTTGATATCAGGGGCTGAGGAAAGGGTTTCATGGAAGTAGGAAGCTTTCGCACGCCGGATCCTTGTCTGTGCCAAGTTGCGAAGCACCCTGAACGCTTGGTAGTCATCTGCAAGCCTCGTACGTCTAAAACGTCTTCGGGCAGCGTCGCGCCTCTTCTGCAGATCTTTGATTTCCTGACACATCCAAGGAGCAGGCCGGTGACGAAAGGTAGAGGTTTTGAGGGGAGCATGGGTATTGAGAATATTGAGAAGATTGGTGGTAAGAATGTCAACCATGGAGTCGATGGAAGAGCAAGAATATATTCCATTCCAGTCTAGGGTTTCTAGGTCAGGTAATATTTTTTCTCGAGTAAGGGAATCTAGGTGACGGAAGGTGATAGTTCGAGGCTGGATTGAAGGAGTTTGGATATTATATGTTATTTGTATAAGATCGTGAGATGATAAGAATGATACTGGCAATTGAGAAGAGGAGAGGAGATTTTGTACAGAGTCTATAATGTAGAAGTCTAGCCAAGTGTCTGACCTGCTGGTGTGGTGGGTGGGGGAAAATGGAACTATGAAGAGGTGCAGAGAGAAAATTAGGTTTTCTAGATAGGATTTGTCATTGGAGTTAGAGAGGAAATTGGTATTGAGGTCACCGGAGATGATTATTCTGGGATATAGAGGAACGAAGTTGAATAGGGTTGATTCGAAGGACTGATCAAATGGAACATGGGGAGGACGATATACCACAGTGTAAAGGAGAGGAAGATCCTTACAATGGATTTCTACTAGAAGGTATTCAACCTGAGGATGATCGGAGGGTGGTGAGGAATCGAGGATTCGAGTCTTCAGGCTATTATGGACAAACATGGCTACTCCTCCGCCATTCCGGCTTACCCGATCATGACGGAGGAGGGTGTGATTAGGCAAGGAAACAGAAGAGGAAGGGATGTAAGGTTTAAGCCAAGTTTCCGAGATTGCGATAATATGATAAAAGTTTTGAGTGAAATATTGCAGGAACTCGTCATAGTGGGCAGGGAGGGATTGAGAGTTAACATGACAGGTGATTAGGGTACTAGACATGAGAGGAATTGGGAGGGAAACAGTCAGAGTTTGGTAGAGAAACTCTAAAACAAATAGAAAATACAAAAAGGCGTTTACAATTAATGAAAATAGCAGAAAAGAAAGTGTAAGCAGGAACCAAAAGAAATAAAAAAACATATGGTCAATAAAATATAAATTAGTGTGTAAGTGTGAAGAGATATCTCTATGCGTAGAAGTGAAAATGTTCCTTTGTAGATAATTGAGTTCAAAGTTATTTTAATGAGGATGAGGAGTAGACGAATTCTTCGTGGTCAGGCAAATATATCGAGGTCCGAGGCCTGTTCAATCAGAATAACTTTATGCCCGTCCTCCTTTCGACATCGCACCTTTCCGGCGGCAAACCACGTATATTTGATTTTCCCCGCAGCTCTCTTCTGTCGGGCAAGCCAATATAAGTGTCTGTTCGTGGGAGTCATTTCCTCACTCATATATATCCGGTGACAGTCATTCTCCTGCCAGCCGATATCCCGAGTAGTGAGGTCTCTCTTGACTTTCCTCTTCGTTATTAAGTCGTCCCTGACTGACTGACAAAGCGCGCGATGACAGGCTGCGGTCGTGGGTCATCTTTTCTACTTCTGCGGCGATGTACTATGTCCAAGTCATCTGTACTGAGCCTGATGCCCAAACTTGCTCCAATGCTGGTCACCAAAGCGGCGGGCGTTTCACCAGTTCGCTCCGGTATCCCTCGGATCTCCAGTGATCTGGATAACAAGCCCTGCTCTGCGTTATTCAGGCGAACCTCCAATTCACCCACTCGAGATTTGAGGGCTTTATTTTCCAGAATAATTTTTTCGAAATTACTGGCTTGACTTTCGAGGTGTTTCTCAATTTTCGATAATTTTTCATTAAGCTCAAAATTGAGCTCTCCATATTTATCGAGGGTTGTTTTTATGTTTTTTATGTCTTCATTGACACTCGAGTCTAAGCGATTTACTGCCGCCAGTATTTCTGAGGCGGACGGCTCAGTGTTAGATTTTTTGGTCTGGTCACAATTAGGGCATACCCAAGTTTTTTTGTGTGCTTTTAAGGCTTCAATTTCTTTTTCACTTAGATTGAGACACCGACCGTGAAAAATAATTTTGCATTTTACACAACAAAGATTGTTTTTATCTTCGCGTGCAATAGTATTATTGCAAATATTACACTGCACCATATTTAATTAGAATAGTACAATTAAAATGTAAATAAATACCGGGAGAGAGTTGTTTTGATGAACGCAGTAAACAGTGTTGTCTAATGCTGTAGGGATTAGTAGACGTTTACACTCCCGTAGCTTCTAGAACTCAATTGGATTCACGACACTTTCTTTAAGTAGATAAAAGTGAATATATTACACTAATCACAGTGAATACTGATACTGTTAAAAGAAAAATACACTCAACTATAATGAACTGTACTGAACATTAAAAATTATAAAAAAATCAGAACTGATAATATAAGAGAGTAATAGCGATGTGTACAGGTAGCTGTCTCTGGCCAGACTAATTTACGGATCGGTGGAGCGCGTATGCGCATGCATGAAAATTCTGCAGCTACCTAATCATTGTGAGTGGCCACCGCTCGTGGAACCGGACTTCCTCAGTGATACTGACGCGTCCTGAACAAGGAAAGAGACGCCCGTCTGAAATGTCTTTCCGGAGTTTGCCTCGATACAGTAATTGTGGCCGATGAAGTCACCACAAGGTTCTTCAATGTCGAAACTGGAACGCTTATCTTGATGTATGACGCTGTGGTGTTTCTCATTGCAAAACATGCACGTGAACGAAGACCGACAGTCCGAAATTCGATGGCCGGGCCTGAGACAATTAGGACATAGCCTAGTCGACTCGATGAAATTGCAGCGGTCTTTGATCGTAAGCGCCAAAAACCTAAAACACTGGGCGAGTGGATGCCTTCCTTTGCAGTGTGGGCAGGGGTTCTTAATCGGAGAATTAGGATTTCTCAGCGGAGATCCGTCACGTGAATATTGGTGTATGAATTCATTCTCACTATCTCTAACCGGAAATGTTCGCTTAAACGAAGTACCAGCTTTCCTCCGATCCAAGTGCTGGGCACGGGAAGATGCAAACTCGAATTTGCGGGCCATCTTAAAGGACATCATCCGATGCCTCACGAAAGCGACGACTTTATCCGCGGTCGGAAACTCATTACTTGCGTGTGAGAGTTCGAACTGCCGTCTGGTGGCTGGGTCCAACGCCCGAAGAGTGAAGGTGGACATGATGACTTACCCTTCATTTTCCAGTGCCAATACTTGGAAGCTGTCTATCCTTTCGCCCACAGAGGTACGAGCAATACTTCGAATATTCGCCACCAGAAGCAGGAATTTTATGATTTAGAATTCTCTGGAGGCACCGTGACGCGAGAACGTCCGTGTTATCATACTCTCGTATGAGAGCGTCCCACGCCAACTGGTATGAGCCGGAATCGAAAGAGAACGCCGAGAGAAGCGACGCCGGTTCGCCGATAAGCGCATTTTTCAAGTAATGCATTTTACTTATCGGCGTTAAGTGGGTCTTGTCATGGATCAGAGACACGTAGGTGTCGCGAAATCGTGTCCACGTCAACAAATCTTAATTAAAAATCGGCACGTCTATGCGGCGGATAAAGCGAGGGGGTTGATCCAGACTTGGCGTTATTATCAACCGCGGCGCGATGAGAGCTTTCCATACTTCTCCCTGAATGGCGTCATAGCCTGTTTCCCAGTCGGGCGGGTAGGCTGAAGCACCCTGGGACGTGTAGAGCTCATCCAATTGCTCTCATATGTTTTCAACTTTGTCCCACATTAACTTTGACTCGTCATAAATTACTTCGTATTCGAGGAAGTCACCACCGCCGATATCCGCGGCTTGGATAAATAATTTGTTCAGACCGCGCCTGAGATGGCGAAGCTTACGCTCAAGCGCATCACCGTGGCCGGAAAAGTCGTTCTACTGTTCGTTACCCACGGTTCCGAATGAATTTATAATCGAAGAGATAACTATATCCTGGAGATGAATATACAGATATGTAAACAACAAAAATCGCGAAAGTGTAAACGTGATGTGGAAAACTCCGAAATTTGCCTGATTTAAATTTCTACAAGAAAGGTTTCAAAACAATACAATAAATTGGATTTCAAAATAGTAACATTGGATTTTAATGGAATATATCATTGCTCCTCTGTCGACACCATGGTTGATATTCTCACCACTAATATTCTCAATATACTCAATACCCACGCTCCTCTCAAAACCTCCACCTTCCGTCATCGCCCTGCTCCTTGGATGTGTCAGGAAATTAAGGATCTGCAGAAGAGACACGACGCTGAACGCAGACGCTTTAGACGGACTAGGCTTGCAGATGATTATCAAACATTCAGAGTGCTTCGTAACACGACACAGACAAGGATCCGACAAGCGAAAGCGAACTACTTTCATGAAGCCCTTTCCTCAGCTCCTGATATCAAATCAAAATGGCTTCTACTTCGTAAGCTTTCCCTCTGTGAACCTTGTAGATCCCCTTCCTCAGTTTTCCCAATATCACCTGATGACCTAAACTCTCACCTTATATCGGTTTCCACGTCTTCTTTACCCTCCTCTTCCGGCTTTTCTCCAGAAGTACCTTTTAACGACAATAATTTTTATTTTTCCAACATTTCTCCCACAGACCTTATTACCGTTATAATGAAATCCCGTTCCAATTCCGTAGGCCCAGATGGCATTCCTATCAAACTAATAAAATTATGTCTCCCTGAAATTCTCCCAGCACTCCTTTTCATCTACAATTTCTCCCTGCAGTATTCAATATTCCCGACCTCTTGGAAAAAAGCCATTGTCCTTCCTTTAAACAAATAGCCTAAAACATCCTCTCCCGAAGATTTCCGCCCAATATCAATCCTTTCCAATCTTTCTAAACCCCTAGAAAGGTTAGTGCAATCCCAAGTTTCCAACTTCCTTGAACAATCCAACCAACTCAATCCTCTCCAATCTGGCTTCCGTCCTGGCTACTCTATACAATCTGCTCTGATTAAAATTACCAGTGATGTTCAGATTGCAATAGATGACAAAAAACTAATCATACTTATACTTCTTGATTTCTCCAAAGCTTTCTATTCCATTATCCATTCCATCCTTTTCAACAAATTAAAATCATTATCCTTCTCCAATAGTTCCATCTGTTGGTTCCAGTCTTTTCTCTCACAACGAACCCAAGCAGTTTCCATACCTAATCAACCTCTATCTGCCTACCTTCCTTTATCCTGTGGAGTTGCACAGGGTTCAAGCATGTGTCCTCTTATTTTCAGCTCTTGTATTAATGACCTAAATGATTCAATTATCCATTGTTCCCACCACCTTTATGCCGACGATTCTCTAATCTATTTATCCTTTTCTCCCGCTGAGTTATTGGCGGCATTTGCCAAAATTCAAGAAGATTTAGATCGAATTATTGCCTGGGCCAACTTAAATGGATTAAGGCTATTGCCAAAACTCAGGCCATTCTCAATGGTTCCAAGCCCCTTCTTAGATCCCACACCAACTTTCCCTCACTCTATCTAAACAACCACCCCATCACCTCCTATCCCTTTGTTAAAAATTTAGGCTTTCTCATAGATTAAACCCTTTCCTGGTATCACCATATCTCTCATATCACACCATATCTCATCCCCAAAATACCCGTTGACTCCTAGCTTCCTCTCTCATCTTTCCCAACTTTGACTGCAGCTGTGTGGTGTACGATAGCCTCTCGGTGGAACTCCGTGATAGACTCAAAAGACTTATGAATAGCTTCGTAAGATTTGTAATTGGGACCCCGAGACGCTCCCGTGTCTCCCACCACTACACTGAGTTAGGGTGGCAGTAGAGAAGAAATGGGGGAGCTGGGCCACCAAAAAGAGCAGCCAATCATAAGCCAGGATTTCAGTGACGGGAAGTTTGAATTTAAATTTGAACAACGGCACGCTGCCTTTTAGGACCTCTAACCAGCCTTAACCACCACGTGGTCAGTCACGTGACCACCAGTCACGCCCCTTTTCGATCATGTAACCCTCATATAACCTTCTCATTGTTTACCTTTTCAGAGTCACGTGATCGGTCACGTGAACAGCGATTTGAGAGACGTTTGTACTTTGTCCGCCATTTTGTTTTTCTATAACTTCCCTATTGTTTACAATTTTCATAATGGCAAATCTGGCGCTTCTCCCTCTATCCTAACCATTATAACCATCATAACCTTCCTAATTTTTTATTATGGTAATGGGTACTACATGGAATTCTACGGACCCCACTAGCGCCCTTCGGGGGCTAGGGCCGAGGTCCTTTTTGCTCTAAAATCAACCGTTTTTGAGATATTCGACATTTTATGTTTTTATTGTTTTTCAAAATAATATATTTCTTTTTTTTATTATTCATTATTCTATGTAAACCTGATCATATATATTCGGGACGAATCTCGCGTTCCTCTCTCCTCCCAACTATTTTAACCTTACAGTAACCTCCCTAATTTTTTTATTATGATAATAGGTTCGACATGGAATTCTACGGACCCCCCTAGAGACCTTCGGGGGCTAGGGCCGAGGTCCTTTTTGCTCTAAAACCAGCCGTTTTCGAGATATTAGACATTTTATGTTTTTTTATTATTTTTCAAAATAATATATTTCTTTCACACTCCCTCATATTCATTATTCTAACAATTTCATTTTACTTTATTTTTTTTATAATTTTTACCATCACTATTTATGTTTATCATACCTTGTTATCTGGTTATTTTCTTAGCCCTGATGAAGGCCTGAACTTCAGCTCGAAACGTCGACATGTGTAAAAATAAATATTACCATTTATTTTTGCCTTCTTTTTTGACTGACCACCCCAACTATTCCTCTCTTCATTAATATATTTTTTTTTTTTTATTCATTATTCTACGTAAACCGGATCATATATATTTGAGACGAATCTCCTCCCAACTATTATAACCTTACAGTAACCTCCCTACTTTTTTATTATGATATTGGGTTCTAAATGGAATCCTACGGATCCCTCTAGAGCCTTTCGGGGGCTAGGGCCGATGTCCCTTTTACTCTAAAACCAACCGTTTTCGAGATATTCGACATTTTATGTTTAATTTTTTATTATTATTTGGAAAAAATATATTTATTTTAGTAATACTGTAAAAGGCCTCTGGGGATTTCGTATTTGAATATTTTTAAGTAATTTTAGGTATGTAAACATTACACATAATTCTATTGGGCAGACAGCGGATGGGTTTTGACCCCTTTAATCCCTAAAATATAAACAACCTCTTAATCCTTATCTAAGTATAAACAAAGGACTTGGACCTTTAATCTCTTATATCTTATTGTTCTTCTTCACGCGTAAACATGTACTTTGCCCTTTTGAATCCTCAAAATGTAAACAACTCCTTAATCAATATCTAAGTATAAACAAATGACTTGAGCATTTATTCCCTTATCTCTTAGTGTTCTCCTTTTTTACGTAAATATAGACTTTGGCCCCTTTAATTCTTAAAATATAAACAACCTCTTAGGTCTTCTTAATCCCTATCCAAGTATTATATGTATGGGAAATTTAGCGCTCTTCCCTCCATCCTAACCATTATAACTCTGCAGTAACCTCCCTGCTTTTTATTATAATATTGATTTTTGACAGGAAGTCTACGTGTTAGTAATAATGTAAACGGCCTCTGGAGATTTCGTATTGGAATATTTTCAAGTAATTTTAGGTACGTAAACACTACACATAATTCAATTACGCAGATAGCGGATGGACTTAGGCCACTTTAATATTTAAGATATAAACAACCTCTTAGGTCTTCTTAATCCCTATCTAAGTATAAACAATGGACCTGAGTATTTATTCCCTTATCTCTTATTATTATCCTTTACACGTAAACATATACTTGGCCCTTTTAATCCTTAAAAGATTGGACGTTTTTGGTCCATTCTTTAAATCATTATCGAATCGTAAACAATGGACTTTTAACATTTAATTCTCTATCTTTTATTTTTTTTCCGTCTGGAAATAGCACTTACAGTAATTCGTAAGGAGTCCGGTAGGATGCGACACGCGTTTCACGATTTTATGACACTAGAGCCAGAATTCGGTCACGTGATAACTGCGCCACATTTGCATTAGAATTAAAATATTCTTAGGGCACTCCCGTTTTTTTTACTTCAACCTAATCATGAACACCCAACCACATCCCCGTTGTAGCCACATGAGCATTAGGTCACATTCCCTCATATTTCTACCAAGCAGATACAGCACCAGCTCCAAGGTTTTGTTCCGGTTGGAGATTTCTCTGTCATGTTTACATTTTTGTAAACTTCCCGATGTTTACTAAACCAATCCAATGTCTGCATAACCTTCTCAATATTTATATTATATTTAATTTTTCTAATATTTGTATTATATATTTGATAGGGTGAAGCACTTATTATATTTTTGTAAGTGTTGCTAGAGTACGGTAGTATATATTAGTAATATAAATCCATTTGAGAATATAAATTACATTTTATATAATATTCCTAATATTTTGAACGGCCAGGTATTGACACTATAGTCTCCCGACTCCACATGTTTTCTGAACTGTTATATTTACTATTAATGGAATCCATCTTCCAGTCCATTGAAGGGTCAGTTACCAACCTTGTGGATGCTGAGTATTTCCAAAAGTCTAATAAACATTTTCATAGCAGCCATCTTGTTTACTTAACCATTACGTGTTTCTTCCAATCCTTTGATTGATTTGCTACCTATCTCAGTAGTTAACTTTATACTGACTGAGTGTGCCTTACAAGAGTCTTCCTACTTATAGCTCCTCCAAACCGTCGAAGGCTAACGTATCTACGCTATAAAGACTGAACTTGCCCAACTCCCGAATCCAAACATTTTCTTTGACATATCTAATGTTTATGTATTGCACAACTTAAAGTTCCTCCCAGCTAGTTTCTCCGAATATTTACATTTCACAAAACTTGAAGTTCCTTCTGGCTATGCCTGATGGTCTAGCTGATCAAAGTTCCAAATAGAATTCTTATTGATGTGAAAATATGGATTTTGATCTTTTAATAATCTCACATAGAATTCTCGTCAATGTGTAAATGTGAACTTTGAAACTATGCAAATTTCACAGAGTCTTTATCGGTATGTGAATATGGACTTTATATGTTTCATCCCTTATCTCTAATTGTTCTCCTTCGTACATAGACATGGACCTTGACCCTGTAATCCGTAAAATATAGACAACCTCTTAGGTCTTCTTAATCTCTATCTGAGTATAAACAATGGACAGTAGAGCTGTAATCTCTTATTGTTCTCCTTAACACGTAAACATGGACTTCGTCTTTTAAATCCTGAAAATATAAACAAGGCAGTCTATAAATAGGAACTTTTTTTTTCGAAGCTTTTCCTCATTCAGTGTTCCTAAAAGGAAGGTGGTTGTGTGTTTCATTAAATACTTATTTTATAATATCAGCAATGAACACATGTCAGCATTGCGATAAATAATTTAGTAGGCAGATGGCTAAACTTCGTCATGAAAAGTCATGCCAGACAACGCTACCAATGCGTTTACTGCGGTGAGATTTTTCAATCTCAAAGACAGTGTATGGAACATGTACGTTGTTGCCAAAGAAAAACACCACTCGTTATGACGAAGCGAAGGCGGTTGGAGGCGCCAGTAGGACCTTTGTATGAGATCTAGACAGCTTTTGGAGGGGATCTCAAGACTTTTTTCCTTCCATGTTATGAATCCATTGATTTAGCGGAATTTCTTTGTAGTAAGACAGACACTCTACATAGACTGACATCAGAAGTTTTGTCGGAATCAGAAAAGGTTCAAAGACAAGTTTTAATTTATTTATCATTTTCAGATTTAATTTTTAAAAGAGTTTATATTACTAATATATATTACAAAATATATATTACTAATATATATTATAATAAGTGTTGCATCCTTTCAAATATAAAATGCAAATATTAGGAGAATTAAATATAATATAAATATTGAGAAGGCTATGCAGACATTAGATGGGTTAAGTAAACATCGGGAAGTTTACAAAAATGTAAACAAGCATCGGTCTCACCAAAGTGGCTGTAGTAGTCCTCAATTTTACAACCCGAACTACACTGTCAGGCCCTGGAAATGTCTCTATTATCCTGGCAATCCGCCACTCCTGCTGTGCAATATCTTTTTCATGCAGAATTACACGGGTTTCCTCCTATAAATTTTCCCTGTCAGTATACCGCTTGTTGCGAGGCACCAACTTATGTAGGTATTCATTATACCATCTCTTCCAAAAATAACGAAGTCATGGAAATCATCTGCCAACGGCTTGTCTAAGGAAACAAAGATGCTTCTTCTTGTTCTGGTCTGGTTCGGAGCGGTTGACTATAAGAAAGTGACCTGGTATAAGTTAATCTAGGTTATCAGATGGCTGACTACTAATGTTGCAGATAGGACGGGAATATAGAACGGCTTCAACTAGTACAAGAATTGTATAAAATTCTTCATAAGTTAACGCATGATCCTGGAGAACGGCAAGAAGGTGTGTCTTAGAGAATTTAATTGCTGACTCGGAGTAAAAGTCCACTTTATACCCGTCCAACTTAAATGATTAGAAATGGTTTCACACCGGCCCTTAACAAATTGATATAGCTCCTTAAACTTCTTGGACTTCTTCTGCAGGCTCAACTTCCTCATGTTCATTTTTCTCATCTCCCCCCACTTCTTCTTTTTCAGGTACAAATTCTTCTTCCTCTTCACTTACCAGCTTCCTGCTTCTGGCTATGACCACCTCTTCAGTATCGGAACCTGCAACCTCAAGGTAACTCATCTTCTTTCCTGTTGTCCGTTTCAGTGGTTTCCCTTCGTCCTCAGAAAGTCCATACCTAATCTTCGGCCTTTTAATTTTTTTTCTTAGATCGATCTGAATTTGAATCCAGGGCCATCTTCTTCTTCTTTTTTCTACTTCTTGAGGATCTAATTCTGATGTATGTTTTCGTTTTCCTTTTTTTTGTTCCTCAATTTGTATCGCTCGATACCGGGCTCGAATTTGCCAAAATTCTGCGGGTTTTCTTCCTCCTAGGCTCATCACCTGATCCGGAATCGTCATCTATGAACTATTTATCTATTCTTCATATTCTCGCTCTCGATGACCTCCTCACACGTTGCCTCCTTCCCATAGAATCGTCGCCACCGCCAGGTTCAGTAGTTAAGAATTCTCCTTCCTCGCTGCTGCCTTTAATGTCTTAGTCCAAATCGGCACCATCTTCACTCTGTTTGTCTAAATCGGTTAATTGCTTTGGGTTTTTCCTCAAAGATAGGAGTGGTGTGTTTTTTGGAACAACTGGTGGCCTCCAATTTTCACTTTGTTCTTCATTATCAGGTTTTGGTTCTTCTTCGACGTTAGCGGTCTTGTCTTTCTGGGCCGCTTTCTTTTCCGCCTCGACAATGTTGGCAATGTCTTTCCCCCGGCCCATAAGCACCTTTCACAGCTTCCATTTCATCCATCTTTGCAGCATAGGCAGACTTATACTCCAGAACTCTCCTAAATCTGTGTATTCATAAAGTGATCTTCGTAAAATGCATCTTCAGGATTCGGCGGAATCGAAGCTGTGACCTCCTCAGTCCCCCAAAATCGCTTTAATTCCTCCTGTAAGGAAGGGCTGGTCTGCGTGAAAGAAATATTGAAGATATGTGGCTTTGGCTATCCTAATGGGGTATGAATAGCTTTCGGTTGATCCTGAAAAAATAAACCAGGGTCACTTAAAACCTCACCCTACGTATCAGCACCCAGAAGCAAATAAACTTTTCCTGGCTTATGCAATTTGAGGGTCTTGAAGTTCTATTGAAGAAAATTTATTCCGTACTTCTTGGGACACGGCAAATGAAGGCACTTCTATTTATGCAGGACAATACTCTGCATAAAAACTCATATATATTTCTATTTCTCATTGAACTCAACTTCACTTTAACCTCAGCAAAAGATGAAGATATGGAGGTATTGCCTATTCCTCACATCTCAAGTGGACTAACCAGGAACGAAGTGGTAATTAAATTAATTTGTGAAACTGGATCGATCACCATTCTGCATGAATACCACTGACCTGAACTTGAACAAATTCTATCTTTTTTTTTTTTCTATTTATTGAATAATAATACAATCAGCCACTGCTGGAGGGCTATAAGCATTAGGGCTAAAAGTTCTCATTCATACAATATATACAAATAATAAAGAAATAAATATAAATATAAGAAGTAAATAAATAATACTAATGAAGAAGATAAATAAAAAGAAAAGAAAAAATAATAATAATAAACAAATAAAATAAAATAAAAACTTCTAAACACAATCATAACTGTATACAATATATACATTCGCCCAAGAATCTCCGAACCAGGCTTTTTCCCCCACACGTGGAAGGCAAAGCAAGACTCCGGAAGATCATAGCGCCACTTTTTCAGCCGCATCACTAGTATTAGAAGCAAATGGAGACTGAAAGAGGGCACTAGAGCCACAGACGCTCAGGACATGAGTGGAGAAGCTGGCCATTGCCAGGACTCCAAAAGCATATTTACAAAAGATCTCGAGGCCACTGCCGTTTCAACCTTCGAGGGGGATGGTATGGATGCTCGGAGCTGGATAGGGATTGGGCTAGAAGATTGGGATGATGTATGAGGTTCTGGTGAAAGTTGGAAAATCTGGATGGGATGATGTCATGGACATATGGGATGTTAAGGTCATGGTGTAGGGTCTTGTTCGTGACATAATATGGAGCATTGACTATCGTTCGAAGAACTTTAGACAGGAAGGATTGGATGCGTTTGATATTCGATGATTTAGTTGTCCCCCACAGCTCAAGTCCGTAGGTCCAGATAGGTTTCAGTATGGTCTTGTAGATTAATAATTTGTTTTCTGTTGAGAGATGAGATGTTCTGTTTAGTAGTCTATATAGCTGACCAAATCGTCGGTTAAGCTCTTGTCTTTTAAGTCTCGTATGTGGGTTCCAAGTCAGTCTTTTGTCCAGAAGGAAGCCAAGGTATCGGACTGTGTCTGAGTAGGGAAGAGGAATTGAATTAAAAAGGATTGGCGGAAAGGATCTGGAAGAGTGAAAGTTACATGTTTACATTTTGATTCATTAATTTTGATGCGCCAGTTGTTGCACCACTGCTCAATGAAGGAGAGGTGTCTTTGCAGGATCCGGGACGCAATTAGAGAATACGAGTGGGAGGATAGGATGGCAGTATCATCAGCAAATGTTGCTAGGAAGGTATCAGGACTTGAAGGGATGTCAGCGGTGAAAAGGATGTAGAGAACTGGGCCCAAGAAACTGCCTTGTGGAACACCAGCCTCAATTGGATAATGTTTGGAGAGTTCAGTGGCGCAGCGGACTTGAAAGGAGCGATTTGAAAGGTAGGATTTGAGGACTAGATACAAAGGTTGAGGTAAATGGGTTTTGAGCTTGAAAAGCAAGCCATCGTGCCACACCCGGTCGAAAGCTTGAGCTACGTCCAGAAAGGCACCAGTGCAATATTGCTTGTTTTCAAGTGCAGAGGATATGTGGTCCACAACGCGAAGGTCTTGTTGGACAGTGGAGTGTCTTAAGCGAAATCCAAACTGATGGGAAGGGATATTGTGTGATTCGAGTATGGGTAGGATGCGTTTGAGAAGGATTTTCTCAAAGATTTTGGAAAGGATCGGAAGTAAGCTTATCGGTCTATAGGATGATGTACAATTAACAGGTTTACCTGGTTTAGGAAAGAGGATAATTTTGGAGTGTTTCCACACCAGAGGAAAGTGGGTTGTGCGGAGGATACAGTTGAATAGGTATGTAAGGAATATAATTGCTTTTTTGGGAAGTTGTCTGAGGATCTGGGAAGTAAGGAGATCGTGTCCTGGAGATTTGCGAGGTTTTAGGTTCTTTAAAAGGAATTTGACCTCAGAGGGGTTGACGGGTGTAGGAGGTAAGGAGAGAGGAATCGGTGAAGAGAGGAATTCTTTAACTTCAGCAGTATGGGAGAGATGGAGTTCAGGATGAGGAGTGAATGTGTACGATAGATGTTTAGCAAACTCTTCTGCTCTATTCTCATCTGACGAAGCCCAGGAACCATCATCTGGGCGGAGGGGATAGGAAATGGATTGGAATTTAAGGATTTTTTTAGTTACATTCCAGCGGGAGTTGTCACTTGTAGATAGTGAGGAAAGATAGGAATTATAGGATTGGGATCTAAACGTAGCCAGTTTTCGTTTTACCTGCTTGGAATAATAGTTATATGATTTCCGATCATCAGGATGCCTGGTTCTTTGCCAGATTGTCCTAGAGCATCGTTTTCTATTAATAAGGTCCAGTAGGTCTTGGGGTAGATGATTTATTTTGCCGTATTTTTTAGAAGGATCAGGTGAAGATGCAGTCCAAACTGCTTGTTGGATCAAGGTAGTCATGGAATATACTGCTTCATCTAGGTCTGCAGGTGTTTTTAAGGAAACTCTGAGGTCAATATTATCATCCAGTATTTGACGGAAGAGGTTCCAATTAACTGGCCCCCTGATAAATGAAGGTGAAAGTGGTTTGGGAATTGGTGATGTGGAGACCGTTAGGAATAGGGGACTATGGTCTGAGGAAAGATCATCAAGTCTTGAGATGCTATAATTAAGGGATCTTAGACCTTTGTGGATGAAAAAATCTAGGAGATCGGGATTGCGGTTAGGATCTGTTGGCCAGTATATGGGAGAATTGGGTGAGAGGATGTTGCTGTGATGGGAATTGAGTGCAGATAGCAATGTTCGTCCTCGGGAATTTGTGGTTCTGGCTCCCCATTGCTGGTGTTTAGCATTTAAGTCTGCGCCTAGAAGGAAGTGGTGTCCTAAGGAGTTAAGGAAGGAAGTTAATTGGGATTCTGAGATGGGTATTTTAGGCGGGGAGTATGCTGCGACTACTGCTATTGGGTAAAGGGAAGTTTGGATTATCATGTCAGTGGATTGTAGGAAATTATGGGTTAGCAAAGGGAATAGATGATGGGAAAGGGATTGATGGATAATTATGGCAGTGCCAGCATGTGCTGTTCCATCAGGATGGTCAGTTCGATAGATATGATAGTTGGGGGTGTTAAGTGGTCGTTTGTTGGTAAGTCGAGTTTCAGTTATTAATACTATATAAATGTTTTTGTCCTGTAATAAGAATGTTAGTTCGTTGACGTGATTTCGAATACCATTCGCATTCCAAAGAAGAACGGAGAGGGATTTGATTGGGGACATTTAAGGATTTCTCGACAGTGGGATGAGGTTGGATACAACATTGGTAAGTAAGGAAATGAGAGGAGTGATGAGTGACCTGAATTCAGAGAGGAAAGAAGTCAATAGGCTTGTGAGGTCAGTGGCATTGGGAGGAGGAGGAATGAATGTCTGGTAATTAGGCCTAGGTTCAGAGATGGGATAAGGGTCTTGAGGTTGAGATGTGAATACTCGAGGTTGAGGTTCTTGTGGCAGGGCCTGAGTTTGTGTTGGTGCAGTGTCTCCTTTGAACATCTGAGCATAGGACACTCTTGTATTTACAGTTCTAGAGGGTTGTCTTGGTGGCCTGGATGGCCGTTCTTCTCTTGGAGGTGCATAAATTCTTGCTTTCAGTTCCTTATATGTTTGGCAACCCTTGTAGTTCGCTGGGTACCCTTGATGGCATAAAGCGCATACTGCTGGTGTTCTACTGGACTTCTGGCGGTCCTCTGTTTTATGTTGATCACCGCACCTGATGCATCTAGGAATGTGGTGGCAATAGCGTTTCGTATGACCATAAGCCTGGCAGTTATGGCATTGTACAATGTTGCGCTTAGTGTAGAGCTTTTCTACAACAACGCTAGTGTAATAAAGGCGGGTGACCTTGTAGATTTCTTCGACCTGTGGCGTTCGGTCAAGGTCAACAAAGAATAGTGGGAGCGGTATTTTATTTTTTGTACCAGGCTGTTCTCTATCTTCCTTGAATATATTCACTATTTATCTAACACTGAACCCCATCTCAGTTAGTTCTTCTTTAATGGCATCCAGCGGTGTTGATGGGTGTAATCTCCTGATCACCACCCTGAGCGCTCTGGAAGTAC